TCCGTGTCTCCTTAAATTGTTCAAGGAACAATCCCTGTGAGTTTTATCGCAAACTTAAATTCACTTTCCGCCGGCCTGGGTGATTTGAGATGGAATGAGCCTAAAAGATGTATTCCTGTTTTTATGGTTACAATTGACAAAATAAACCCATTTAGATGTATAATAAGATAGAACATTTTTCTTAGAAAATTGCTCCTACGAAATACCCTTCTGAGATTTCGCGGTCTTAGCAAATTTCTATGTCAAAACAAATGCTTATTTGCAATTAAAGTATTTACTGTTGGATGGCTTTTGGACTTAGTTAGAAAAGTTACGAAGTCATGCAAAAAAGTAATGATAATCATTATATCTTCTGAATTCTTCCAGAGAAAATTTAAATTTTTACTGCAAATCAGTTTATTATAACGACGGAATCGACAAAGGCTTTGAGTTAAATCTTATCCCAGTTGAGTTTATCCGAAATCTAAGTAGAAGCAAAATATTTGTATCTAAAGAAATGAGTCCGACCGATTCCACTTTTTTCATAAACTCTCCTATAAAAACATTAAGCTGATGCCAGATAAAACGCTTTCTTCGCTTTGCGTGACAGATTCGCTTTGACAGATGAGAAAATGCACAAATCATGGCAGCTGCAGCGCGAAGCGAACAGATGGCCAACTCCCATCTTTTTGCGCGCGTTGACAATCAGCCGGTTTAATATTTATTTTGTTTTGTCAAAATTCGAGTTTTCATGCCAAAACATAAAACTGAATTACATTGCTGATATTTTGAAAGCGAAATGTATAAAATCCACAGCAATTTTGATGAGTAAAAAAGCAGAACAAAATTGTTTTCTCGGCGTTCATTGTGGCATACCTTTTGCGTCTGGCGCTTTGCTGACAAAGTTGTAAATGTCACGCAAAGCCACAAAGTTTCATCTGGCATCTGCTTTACAAAAAATATGTTACTAATCCAAAAACTCCTTAATTCAGAAATTTAAACACGAACACAACAAACGTGAATAGTTAAATAAATTTGTTTGCTATGCAATATTTTGTACCTACCCATGTGTGTGGGAGAATATGTATCAAATATATACATGCATAAATATGCATAAGAGCCCGAAA